TTTCTCTGCATCCATGTTACTTCAACCCATAATGCAACAGTCCCGCGTTCAACTTAACCTGGTCATGTGACTGTTACGCTTCAATAGTAACTCTTCTTAAAGAACCCCTAACTTCAAACATTTTAAGGGAATACATTCTCTACTTATTAACTTGAATCACGTACATACATTTTAGTCAAATATATTTAAACAATAAATGAACTCAAATTGACATCAATTTTTAACAGAAACATAAATATGCACATCTCTTTGAAAACATGTCTGTTGACAGTTACAGGCGGGTTTAAGATGTTTCATCAGAAAGGGATGTACTTGCATGTACGTTGAAAATTTTGCAATTTTGCAACATTTCTTTTCTTAATCAAAATGAACCCAAAACAAAACTGTTTTAAAAAAAAGATTTAACAGTGCCCTCTTTAAAACACTTTCAAAAAAGGAAAAAAGTAAATAAAAAGCCATAGTATAATACTGTTTAAAATGCCAAGTTTAAAAGTCCACAGACAGAGAAAGCAACATTTATAGGGTTAGTTCGCCCATAATTTCAATGCTATTGCGAAGGAACGCAAATATTCTAGGGAAATGCAAAAGTTTTGTGAGCAAACTCAAAATTTCTTAAGGAGAACGCAACAGTTTTGTGAGAGAATTTTAAAAAAAGCTTCTCACATATCAGGTATTTTCATGTTCCTTAGGCTTCGTTTCGAAGATGATGAAAGTCTAGGGTTTAAAACAGGGCCGGACTGGGACGCAATTTCAGGCCGGGAAATCTCACACTCATCCAGGCCACACAGAAAAAAAGGGGCCAAAATTGTACCTTTTGGGGGACAACAGCATGACACCGTAGTAGTACACCGTACATATTAGTACCTTAAGAGTAGCAATTCGTACCCTTAAAGTACTAATTTGTAGGCCTACCTATTAGGGGTAAAAAAGGAACAAATATGTCCTTTTAAGGGTTCTGTTCCAGGGACAAGCTGTTGTGCCCCAAAAGGTGCAATTTGGGCCCCTTATTTCCTGTATAAAGCCTATACATCCACAACAATTTCTGAAACCAGACAACCCTATTATTCGTATGGCCATCACATAAAAAGGTCTAAATCCTTAGTCTGGGGCCATGGAAAATAATTAAATGTTCTCTCTTGCACTGCACCTTCACTTCCCTTTCCCTCATTTTCCCCAATATCTCTGCCTGCCCCCCCCACCCCCCCCCTCTCCTCTCCTCTCCCTTCAGGTCTACTGTTATGAACAGAACTGTGTCCACCTTGTTGAAAACATTCACCTCATTTCAATGTTTTACAAAGAATGTTATTTACCTTAAAATGACTTAATTACCCTAGATTTAATAAACCTATATTTCATACTATAGCAGTCAAAAGTTTTTGAACAGTAAGATTTTTAATGTTTTTTAAAGAAGTCTCTTCTGCTCACCAAGCCTGCATTTATTTGATCCAAAAAAATGTTTGAAATATTTTAATTAAAATTTAATTTATTCCTGTGATTTCAAAGCTGAATTTCTGCTGGCTTTCAAGCTTCAAGATTCACCAAGCCTGCATTTATTTGATACAAAGTACAGCAAGAGCAGTAATATTGTGAAATATTTTTACAATTTAAAATAACTGCTTTCGATTGGATTATATATTTAAAATGTAATTTATTCCTATGATCAAAAAGCTGAATTTTCAGCATCTTTACTCCAGTCTTCAGTGTCACATGATCCTTCAGAAATCATTCTAATAGGCTAATTTGCTGTTCAAGAAACATATTTGTTGTTGTTATTATTATTATTATTATTATTATCAACATTTAAAACAGTTGAGTACATCAGGATTCTTTGATGAATAGAAAGATCAGCATTTATCTGAAATAAAAAGCTTTTGTAACATTACCCATGGACTATACCGAAAGCTTGGAGTCAGTATAATTATTTTTTTTGAGGGGCAAATTTTATTTTATTTTTTTCTATAAAAATAATTTTTGTTGATGATAAAGACATTTATAATGTAACAAAAGATTTCTATTTCAGATAAATGCTGTTCTTCTGAACTTTCTATTAATCAAAGTAACCTGAAAAACAATTGAATCTGTTTTCAACATAATAATAATAATGTAATAATGTTTTTGAGCAGCAAATCAGAATATTAGAATGATATCTGAAGGATGTGACACTGAAGACTGGAGTAATGATACTGAAAATTCAGCTTTGAAATCACAGGAATAAATTACATTTTAATAAAAATATTTCACTTTTTTTTTTAGCTGTATTTTGGATCAAATAAATGCAGGCTTGGTGAGCAGAAGAGACTTCTTTAAAAAACATAAACAATCTTACTGTTCAAAAACTTTTGACTGGTAGTGTATTAAAACACAATTTCTAAAGTGCCTAAATGTCAAAATTAGTACAATAAATTTGTTGAAAAAGTCTAATACACTATTGAATTATTAGGCTGTGAGCATGTTACTCATATTATTTCTGTGTTGCTCCCTCCCTCCCTGTACAATAAATCCATGTGAATATCTGTGTCTGCTACATTTTTTAATGTACAATCGATATTGATGTCCTATTTAAGTCAAGTCAAGTCACCTTTATTTATATAGCGCTTTTAAGCGTAGTATTTAGCACAGAATTCTGAATGATGATAATAATGGGGTGCTACTGATAGCCCAACAGATACTAGCAGTTTAATACTCAACTACGTTGTAGCGTCTGGACCACTCCAACACACAATATATATTTTGTTAGCTAGATTTCACAAATACTTTGTAACACCCCAGGACGCCGAACAAGACCCTG